TTGGAGTTGTAAATTCTTGCCCTACAATTAAACAAAATATGTGATTGGGTGTTACTTTCCTTTTTGAAGATTTTCTCTGGTGGATAGAAGTTATCCAGATAACTAATAATAGGCATCCAGATCATTCTCGGAAGAACATGTAGACCTCTAGCAAGAGAATTCTTCTGTCTATGCCTGTATATTAAATACTGGTTTTTAAAGCAGGATTACAAGAGCAATCTCCCTTGTTTCATATAGAGCAGTAGATACTGCATATTCTCTGACTGATAGAGTACAGACTCTGCAAAAAAGCATTACTAGAGGTAAAAACATTTAGCATTACTAGTTAGGATCATATATTCGGAAAGTGGGTGTAAGAAAACGTGCTGGGGTGTTTAATTGTAGCAGGCACTGGGATGTACTTGCTGCAGTGGAAATGAGTTCAGATTACTTGTGCTAACTGGTTTTTGTTTGTTAAAGAAATGAGAAAAGAGGGGGAGAAAATGACGTGATTACTGATGATTATTACTGCTTGCAGCACATGCCTACAAAAAGTTGAGGGGATGTAGGTATGAGATTCAAAGTTGAGAAATGCTGTTTTGCATGTTTAAATGCATGTGAATGTTTTTCTAGTAGCCAAATTTTTTGCATAAGAATGAAGTTACATCTAATTTTCTGTCACACTTTTAATGCACAGGTTCCATTTATGCTCAGGTATGTGATGTACCACACCATACGCAAGTTAAGGATTCAAACCTGTATCTAAGAACTGAAAAGGTGTATCATTCAGTGAACACTAGAATTGAGATATAAATAATATATTTAATTTTGAGTGCGACTTAGACTATTTGAAATGTGTAGGTGATATTCTGATTTTTCTCATTTTTCTGAATTGTCAGTTAAGGACCTTTCTCTATTGATCATATAATCTGCAAGAATATGGCATGATAGATACTGTATGATAAGTCCCTGGGTTACACAGTATATTTTACTACCATCTGCGTGGGTGGCTTTCCTGTTTTCTTTAAAGTGACGTCACTTAATAAAACAACAGTGACTATAAGAGTGTAAGATGCAAGACAGAGGTTTAGAAAAACTCATAAAACTAGCTCAAAATGTGTGAAAAATCCATGTATGCACAACAAAGATGCAGCAGGCATATTGCGTATTATTCACACACAAAGGCTGCTATTCTGTAAGAAAATACTGTCAAACTAGAGAACATAAGAACTTGTTTATCAGAGAAATTCAAGGCCCCTATAATCCAAACCAGCAGATTTTGACTAAACCAAAGGATGGAGAATTTATAGACAACATTTCAGAATTCAGTTTGAATGAAACAGTAGAAAGGAACTGCTTTAAAAAAGCAGTTTCCACCCAAACAAAACTATTAACAATACTATCCAGAACTCTTAATAGCTATAAAGAATGGAAATTTTCAGGCAGGGCCTGTATTCATGGTTCTGTAAAGTTTAAATTTCTTTTTTACTTCATGAGACCAGTTATTCCATTCTTTCACAACTTCAGGTTGCTAGCAATTTAATTTTAGCATCATCTTAAAAAAAAAAGAAGCAGTAAAAAAATCAGACTGTAACCTTGTTAAATCCATCTAAAAAAACTAGCTAGAGAAACAGCATTGTCTTCACAATAGTGTGGAGAAAACTGATCAGTTGTGGTTTTTTTCAAGCTTTTAACAACAGATATATAAAAGAAGACTTATGTTTCAAGTCAGTACATAAAAAAGGAAGTCAGCCATTGTCTGTGTTAAGATCAGTAGCAATTTAATTTTAAAAAGTGAAATGATTTCTCCATCTCACTCTACCACAAAACGCATTGTATTCATTATTGCTTAATTAGCATCAATTTGAAGTGATAGTATTTCTTACAAAACTATTTGTTGAATAGCCAAAATAAATAAATAACTTGAAATCATGTAACTTTTTCCTGTTGTGTACAGGGTAATTTCTACACTGACATATTGAATAATAATAGAGTTCAGTACGATTGTTTTGCATTGTTAAGATGTAGTTGTATCCCATACAGAATGATAAATTCTAAGACAGTGCCACAGCAGAAGGTGATGCTGTGTTTTGGAAAATAAAAGTACATTGACATACATTTTTATTGAGTTGGGTGGATGGTTTAAAATTCTGAGGTCATTCCGGGGTGGACAATATTGGTAAGATTTCCAAAATGATCACTGGCAGGGAGGAAGGAAAGCACTAATAGTCTGTTATTTTTTAAACAAGTTTTTTTGTTTGTTTGGGTTTTGCTTTTTGGGGGGTGGTTGGTTTTTTTTTTTTTTTTTTGGTTACACCTTTTTGGAGTCTATATGGTTCCAGACAAGATTTCCCATTTTTTACCCTGCTCGTGAGAGAGGAGTTGCTTTAAACTGAATATAAGGTTGTATAGTCACTAGTGTAGGAGCTGGAGAATTAAAGTATGTTGCAGTGGATTTTTATCTTATAGACTGACTTTTCTTTTTCTTTTTTCACTAGATAATTTTGAGTGCATGTGTCATCATTTCAGTCAGTTGTAGCAGGTTTTGAACAGTGACAGCTGACTGTTTGTATTATCAGATGAGAACCAAATTTGTGGAAATTGAAATAAAACAATTCGGCTTGTAATTTTTTGTCTGACTTTTGTGGAAAATAGAAAGGAGAAGAAAAGAATTGAGAATTAGCATGTAAAAAGTGTCCCCTCCCCCCCAAATTGTTTTCCTGTTATGACTATAGATAGATAATACAAAAATAGCACACTAATTTTCTGAGGCATGATTCAGCTTGAAAGTGGGAGAGGACTGAAAATCTTCTGTAGTGACATTGAAGTTGCATTAAGGAACAGTAAAGAAAAATATATATAATTTTTCAAATTTAAGCATCGAGAACTCGTGAAATGCTGCTGTTAGGGCCTCCTGGGGGCTGTACTGGATGAGAATCCTCACTGCAGCCTATGACAAACACTGTTCAACATCAGGCTTTCGGATGATCTGCTTGGATGGTGTTCACAGGTGCTAGCAGTGTAAAAGAGACCGTGCAGTCCTACTGCTCTCTCTGTAGGAGGTTATTTCTGTATCTGCTTCCGAGATGACTTGGTGCTTGGACGGCATTTTCTTCTGGGTAAAGAGTTGTTAAATTTGAATGGGGGCAAACCAAGTGTGATAGTTGAAGGAAAATATTTCTGAAGAATATTCAGTTGGTGTGCAGTCTGTTTTTCGATTAACAGTGTGTATTTGCATTTCGTCAGTTTAGTGTGTGTGGGTTTTTCTGGCATGTAGACTTGATTGTGAACTCCCATCTCCTGTAACTATGAATAATGCAGACTAATACAGAATATTGTGGTATGTCCCTTAGCAGCTCAAGTTGCTTTTACAGCATGAAATTCTGCTATTGCCTGCTTTCTAGAGGATGCTGAGTTACATCTGAAGCTTTGACCTTTAACTTCAGAGCACTCTATGCTTGGCCCAGGCTATCCAGAGGATCCCCTGAGGGTGGATGCCGACAGGTCTGCTTTCTTTGCTTAGTGGATATGTTTGCATGGAGGATGTTACTTGCTGTGCAAGAGATAGCTTCTTTGGAGACAGGAATTAGGTAGCGTGATATGGTGAAGGACTTGTTTTCTTTTGCTCAGTGTCTAAAATGCATGTAATTTAAATGTTCAACATTCAGATTTATAATTAAGCTTCAGCATTGAAATATAACCTTTTTTTTTAATGTGGAAGAGTTTGGGAACTGCAGTTTTATTGCATCATTGTAACTAGTGGACTTCTGTGCTGGAACAGTACTTGTGTGATGCTCATATTCAGTGCAACTCCCTGGCCACGGTTTAATTTTACTTCTCAGTTATTTTTGTTAGATAGAATGTAGAGTTAGGATGCATCAGTGCAGTTTTTTTTCCCTCTTCTTGTATTTCTTTAAAACACTAATATTAACTTTGATCACCACCCAAACAAGCTAGCTGTCTGTATCACGTGACCGGTTTGTGTGTATTAAGTCCTGCCTGTTTTTCTGGGGTCTGAGGTCTTTCTTTGGTTTGTGCTAAATAATGGGATTAGATGATTTAAGAAAATGCTGCTGTTCTGTATGATAAACCAGTGTCTAACCACTTCGTTAGTTACTGGGTTTGAATTATGAAGCGTGAAATGGTTTTCTGCAGTATTGCTTTGGCAGATTTTACTCCCTAACACCGCTACAGACTTCATTGTAGATTACGATTTGTGAAACGTTATAATAAAATTATATTGGTTATATTAAATAGTGTTCTAGTTAATGTGGGTATACAGTTTATTCTGTTCAAAGTTCATTGTTGATGAGTGTGAGACCATCAGCTTCTACACTGAAGTGCTTCGTACTTAATTTTATATTGAATTTAGATGTCTAAAATGGGTAATGATCCCCTAAATTTCAGTTCATTGTTTGTGTACCTCGTATGGAGATTTCCATGATAATATTGTGTGAACACTTTTTCCTTAGGGTTTGGAAATGAAGATTTTTCAGTTAATCTGCTTTTCATGGTGTTCATATGTAGGTAGTAATAAGATTCTTTAAAAATATATTTGAGACAAAGAGTCTCTCTGAGAGTTTGAATTTTTTTATAGCATAGATCACTTCTGCTGTATCACTGTATTCATTTGTAATTAGGTAGACTGAGTTTTTCCTGTTAGTATTACACTACTGATTTCATTATTGGGATTTTATGGAAGTATTTGTTGTATTTGTAATTATTTTTAAGACTGTTGCACAGTTGGAGCTGTTTCAGTCTAAATAGTTCTTTGTAGTTTGCTACGGGGTGCTCTGTGGAATATTGTTTGGAAATATTCTAGGCAATTGCTTCTCTGGAAGAGAAAGGTGACACTTAACTATCTTGCATATCGCACTCTGTCTTAAAAAATACCCTTGAGTGTTTTTTGGTTACTTTGGTAGGAAAGGGTTTGGTCCTCTGTATGTATAGGTCATACCAGTTTCAGACACTGACTTCTGTAATTTAATTGCTTCTATTTTTTTTAATTAATCTATTTGCAGATGTGATGCAGATCCATCTGCCCTAGCTAAATATGTTCTGGCTTTGGTAAAGAAGGATAAAAGTGAAAAGGAACTGAAGGCATTGTGTGTTGATCAGCTGGATGTATTTCTTCAGAAAGGTATTGTCTTTGTCATAACAATTAAGTTTGAGTGAAAAGTCTGTCTCGTTTAATTCATTCAAACAATCTTTTACAATAGAATCGTGTGTTTATCTCTTTATTAGCTTTGTTATTTTCAAGCATGTAATTCAATTTTCATAAGTGTGTTTTAAAAAACAGGTGTATAGCACAACATGCATATATTAGGAATATGTTTTCTGTCTGTTGGTATTCCTGGAAGAAAATTATGGATGTTAAGAGTTATTGAAAGAATTAGAGGTATTTGAGCTCTGTATATATTCCGGAAACATTCTTCCAGATGTTTTATTAAGAGACATTAAATAATTCAATGATTGAAAACTTTTATGAAACATTATCATTAGTGATATGTTTCTTGACTTTGTAAATGTCCTTTTGAAATATAAAATTAGCAGCATTTAAAAGAATACTCTTCATTGTTTTAACTTTGGTGAATGTTGATTTTAAAAAAAAAAAATTAGAGACTCTTCATTGTTTTAACTTTGGTGAATGCTCTAAATTTTTTTTTTTTAAATCAACAAATGTTAACTGAAATTCTGAATAATGTATATTTGTATGCTTTTTACTTTTAGAAACTCAGATATTTGTGGAAAAACTGTTTGATGCTGTGAATACAAAAAGCTATCTACCTCCACCAGAACAGCCATCGTCAGGAAGCCTGAAAGTAGAATTTTTTCAGCACCAAGAAAAAGAGACAAAAAAAGAAGAGGTAGGCATTGATTTTATTTTAATTTTTTTGTCTTTTTTCCTCATTCCTGTAGTTTGCTTGTATGGTGCAGCTTCATAGTGTTTATTTATTTATTAACAATAGTTCCCAAACTCATACTACAGCATTAAAATATGTCAGAAGATTTGTGCCATGCACATGGAGTACTGCTGCATGAGTTTTCTAAACATAAGTGGAGTGGGTGCTTCAGAGGTAAACCAAAGAGGTTCTGACGAGGCAAATGTAAATGAAGTTCTTGAGTAGCGTAGGAGTTGCAGTACAACCTGCGTTAGTTCTTTGGTCAGGATTGCGGTTGTAGTTCTGCTACCCTTTAATTCAGCATAAATCCAGGCTGCCGTTCCAAATGACAGTCCTTGTTCCTCCAGTTGCTTGGTCCAGATAACGTCGTATTTCCACACAAGTGTTTAGGTTGTTCTTTGAGGCAGAAGAGTATCCTTTTCAACAGCAGCCTAGGTTTGGCTGCATGAAAGTGTTTAACCGTGTTTTGAACCAGCTAACCTGCCGATGAAGAAAAGACCTTACTGTTACAATCATTGAATATTCATCTCTTCCAAGATCTGTCACTGCACCTTAGTATGGATTTTTGTCGACCTGTAGCAAAAGCAGATGTATTTTCAGTGAAGCACAAGACGGATTGCTTATTCTTCTTTATTTTCTTCCAACCCATGCTTTGAATATTCCTAGAAATAGAAATCTAATAAGTATGAAGAGTGTCTGATTGCTTTAGATGCAAAAATATTGTTTCAGTTCAGTGTTACTGCTGACTTTGCTCAGCATTTTGAGTTTTTTTGTTTTTATTTGATTGTGCAGAAGTCTCCATGGTAGTATACTCATGTTTTGAT